GGGGACAAGGCAACGGGACATTGGCTCAGCGTTTTACAGATTGTTTTAGTAAAGGTTTTTACGGCGCTCGCAACTGCATAAGGTCATATGAGCGCCAGAAGATTAGATGTGTTACAAGAGAGTAACAAACATAAAAAAAGAAGGAGGGGAGAAAAGGACGATAGATGTTTGATAGGAAAGAAGAAGCAAACCACACCAGAGCACCCGCCAACCACCTACTCTCAGCATTTTAGTTTAATTTTCATAAGGGTTTTTTAGGTTTAGTAAGAGTTTTACGGCAATTGCAACACAATAAGGGCATAGAAGTGGCCAAGATTAGAGGTGATACTAGAGAATAACACGATATTGAAATGTACAAAATGGAAAGATCAGTTCTTCATTTATCCCACAGAATCCTCCATTCTCTAGGCCATTAGTCTCTACTCAAAGCTGTTGATAGTATTTGTCATTAAATATACCTGTTGTTGTTTTTTTATGACATTTTTTCCCCCGATTCGATGTGGTACTAGAGAATGACACACACAGAAACACAAGGTGGGCAGTTAAGGTGGATACATGTTTGATGGGAAAGAGGGAGCAGACCACACCAGAGCAACCACATCTTTGCTCATTATAGATCTATCCAGTGGATCATTTTCTCTCAATAACCGTTAGTGATACGAACCAAAAGAAAGACAACTCAGACACGTTTCCATCCGGTCCTTGAAATCCATGTTTATGACATTGGTCGAGTTAAAAATAGACACAAAGATCCTTCCTTTCTTTGCGAGAATTCAAAGCTTACGTGTTTTCTTTGTAAGAGCAGCACATTGTACCACGGACAATTTGGAATCTTTGTAAGAGCAGCACATTGTACCACGGACAATTTGGAATCTTTGTAAGAGCAGCACATTGTACCACGGACAATTTGGAATCTTTGTAAGAGCAGCACATTGTACCACGGACAATTTGGAATCTACATTCCACGTCATGTTCCAAAACAAGATTGTTGACCAATCTCTCTGCTGCAATACACACTTGCTTTTCTGTATTCAACCTCACTATTTGCTTCTACAATGTTGCCAACAGTTAATCTTTTAAAATGGGGAACGAGATAGTTTTAGTAAGGTTTTACGGCGCTCGCAACTGCAAAAGGTCATACGAGCGCCAAGTGGTGGATGTCAACAGAGAAGTCTTTACAGGGAATCAGACTTACTCTGCTCACCTCTCTAGCCTCAACAGCACAAAGTCTGCTTCGACTATCAAGGCCCCCCAGAAATAGCGGGTCACAAGAGAGTGACAAACATACAAAAGAAGTAGAGGAAAATGAGGATAGTAAGGATGAGGAAAGAAAAAGCAGCAGTTCCCCCTATGTTGTTCCGGCACAGTATGAGCATGACATCGATAAATCAGCCCATTTACAATAGCACTTGACAGCTCAGATTAATTCTTCTGTTCAGATCAAATTTTGTTGAGAAAAACCCATGAACTAAATGTTAGCTGATAAGAACTTTCAGTATATGATGTGACAAAATCTGGACAGTTTGAGAAGCATAGACTTGAGGATATGTTAAGTTTGAGTAGGCGTTTTACAGCACTATCGACTCAATCTGAGGATGTATCAGGAACCCAGTCAACTGGGTGACTTACTTGACCATAAGGGGCAACAACTCTGCCGCTCCGGGCTCGAAATATGCGGTGGCCGTGTCGACGCGGTAGACCGGGGGGTTGTGGTCGTCGCTGACCTCACAGCCCAGCGTGTCCTTGAGGAGACCCAGGGGCTCCCGGTCGTTCAGCAGACTGGGGGGGGGGGAGGACAGTTGTGCAGTTTTTGTTAGTTTTATGGAGCTTACCACACAAACAGGTTATATATAAGCGGCAAAAATAGAGGTGAGACTGTAATACTAGACAGGTTATATATAAGCGGCAAAAATAGAGGTGAGACTGTAATACTAGACAGGTTATATATAAGCGGCAAAAATAGAGGTGAGACTGTAATACTAGACAGGTTATATATAAGCGGCAAAAATAGAGGTGAGACTGTAATACTAGACAGGTTATATATAAGCGGCAAAAATAGAGGTGAGACTGTAATACTAGACAGGTTATATATAAGCGGCAAAAATAGAGGTGAGACTGTAATACTAGACAGGTTATATATAAGCGGCAAAAATAGAGGTGAGACTGTAATACTAGAGAGACCCTTGGTTTAGTTTTAGTACAAGTTTTACGGCACTTGCAACACAAAAAGGTCATATAAGAGCTGAAAATTAGAGGTGTTACAAGAGAGTAACAAAGAACAGAAGGAGGGGAGATAAAGCTGATAGATGTTTGATAGGAAAGATGGAGCAAACCACATCAGAGCACCCGCCAACCACCCACTGATAGATGTTTGATAGGAAAGAAGGAGCAAACCACATCAGAGCACCCGCCAACCACCCACTGATAGATGTTTGATAGGAAAGATGGAGCAAACCACAGCAGAGCACCCGCCAACCACCCACTGATACATGTTTGATAGGAAAGAAGGAGCAAACCACAGCAGAGCACCCGCCAACCACCCACTAGCACCTGACATTATTCCACGGCCTCTGCTGAGCAGAAAGAAGAACGCTGGTCTTCGACACATCATTGACAACACACCGCGCTCTGTGGGGTAGCAGAATGAAGAACGCTGGTCTTCGACACATCATTGACAACACACCGCGCTCTGTGGTGTAGCAGAAAGAAGAACGCTGGTCTTCGACACATCATTGACAACACACCGCGCTCTGTGGGGTAGCAGAAAGAAGAACGCTGGTCTTCGACACATCATTGACAACACACCGCGCTCTGTGGTGTAGCAGAAAGAAGAACGCTGGTCTTCGACACATCATTGACAACACACCGCGCTCTGTGATGTAGCAGAAAGAAGAACGCTGGTCTTCGACACATCATTGACAACACACCGCGCTCTGTGGTGTAGCAGAAAGAAGAACGCTGGTCTTCGACACATCATTGACAACACACCGCGCTCTGTGGTGTAGCAGAAAGAAGAACGCTGGTCTTCGACACATCATTGACAACACACCGCGCTCTGTGGTGTAGCAGTTAGGCACTTCACCAGCGCACACACAACACCCACGTCCGATTCAGTAGAAGGGAAAATTTGTTCAAGTATCTCGGTCTTACTGTTGGGATGTTGTATCCCTCTCAGATACGGGAGGGTAAGAGGGGGAAGGTAAGATCAGGGGGTGTGAGAGAGGGAGGAGAGTGAGATGAGGAAAAGTGAGACAGAAAGGTGAAATCAGGAGGGGTGTGAGAGAGAGAAAGGAGAGATCAGGAGGGGTGTGAGAGAGAGAAAGGAGAGATCAGGAGGGGTGTGAGAGAGAGAAAGGAGAGATCAGGAGGGGTGTGAGAGAGAGAAAGAGATCGGGAGGGGTGTGAGAGAGAGAAAGGAGAGATCAGGAGGGGTGTGAGAGAGAGAAAGGAGAGATCAGGAGGGGTGTGAGAGAGAGAAAGGAGAGATCAGGAGGGGTGTGAGAGAGAGAAAGGATAGATCAGGAGGGGTGTGAGAGAGAGAAAGGAGAGATCAGGAGGGGTGTGAGAGAGAGAAAGAGATCAAGAGGGGTGTGAGACAGGAAGCTGAGATCAGGAGGGGTGTGAGAGAGAGAAAGGAGAGATCAGGAGGGGTGTGAGAGAGAGAAAGGAGAGATCAGGAGGGGTGTGAGAGAGAGAAAGGAGAGATCAGGAGGGGTGTGAGAGAGAGAAAGGAGAGATCAGGAGGGGCGTGAGACAGGAAGCTGAGATCAGGAGGGGTGTGAGAGAGAGAAAGGAGAGATCAGGAGGGGTGTGAGAGAGAGAAAGGAGAGATCAGGAGGGGTGTGAGAGAGAGAAAGGAGAGATCAGAAAGGAGAGATGGTAAAGAAAGGACGGAGAGATGGTAGTGGGTACTCACTGCTCGGGCACCGACCACCTGACATGCGCCGTGACTCGTCCAAGGTTCGTCCCCTCCTCCTCCATCTTGTCGTGGAAGTCTGCGAGGAGACCCAAGTCCACGTCAAAGATCGACAACTTCCTGTCTGCGTCGGTCACCAGCAGGGGGCCCACCCTGTCAAGTGTAAGAGTGTGGGTTCAACTCTGAGTATATGACACACTGGATCTATGTGTCGATAAGGTCATAAAAACATCTACTTTGACACTATCCGTACATCATGTTTTACTATCCTATCCATACCACGTGGGGAACTCCACTTTCCAAAGAGGAAATTTACTTGTTAATCCGATCCATACGTTTCGCATAGCAGTCTGTCAAAATGAGTTTTTGAGAAATACTGAAAGTTTCAAAGAGATCTTGGCACTAGAAGTATTCTAAAATGTGATGAACACAACCCCAGGGGTGCAAAATGACCCCAGGGCGTACGGATAGGGTTTTAAAAAAACCAACTCTTTCATAGAGATGATAAAGCCAATTGTATACAAAACTGAGTCATGTACAAAAGCCAGCCGTGTACAAAACCCAGCTGCACACAAAGCCCATCCCCGTACAAATGTCCACATTGTCATGTACTCACTGTGGATGGTCCAACAACTTGTCCACCACGGCTCGACTCTTCCACGAGCGTGCGTACAAAAACTCCATGTCCGTGATGCCAACAACCTGCCATGTACACACAACACCTCAGTCAACAAACACGCCATGTACACACAACACCTCAGTCAACAAACACGCCATGTACACACAACACCTCAGTCAACAAACACGCCATGTACACACAACACCTCAGTCAACAAACATTCCATGTGCACACAACACCTCAGTCAACAAACACGCCATGTACACACAACACCTCAGTCAACAAACACGCCATGTACACACAACACCTCAGTCAACAAACATGCCATGTGCACACAACACCTCAGTCAACAAACACGCCATGTACACACAACACCTCAGTCAACAAACACGCCATGTACACACAACACCTCAGTCAACAAACAATCTCTTTACAGACAAAATGAAGACATCACACAGCTTTTTGTCTAGTTTTTTTCCCTTTCCCGTGTCCTCTTTTTACGGGTGCCAGATGTTCGTTAAAAGTACATGACATATCTTTTCTATTGGACGAGGTTGTTCGACTTTGTTGTGGTAGAAAATCACAGGTGTTGTTATCACCTCTCTGGAAGATAAACAGCAACAGAACGATCTGTATGTGTCACGACGCGGTGGAATCATGCGCTCCTCATTTTTGGGGGGCATGCGACGTTATTGGTATAATCTTAAAGTTAAGCCAGTTCACTTCAGCTGTCATCCTTATCTCTCTTCCCATTCTTTCTTTGTTACTCTCTTAAAATACCCTCTAATCTTCATCACTTATATGACCTACTAATGTTCCAAGTGCCGGCAGTAAAACTCTAACTGCACCAAAACTGGCCAAACATCTGTCATCGTGTGGTCCTGACCTGTAGAAAGGTGAGTTGCCCGTGCGGTGTGTCCAGACAGGGAAGCTCCGGGTCCTCCACGACCAACATGGCGTTCACCTCTGATTGGCAGCGGTACACAGGCAGAGATCTGGGGGACAGGATAGATTACAGTGATGGGGCTATAGGGGTGCTGGTGGTGGTGGTGGTGGTGGTGATGATGGTGGGGCTTTAGGAGTACTGGTGGTGATGGTGGTGGTGGTGATGATAATGATGGTGGTAATGATGGTGATGATGATAATGATGATGTTGGTGGGTGGTAATAATGATAATGATAAAACCCCTTTCACTTTCCCTGATATATAAGGCCCTTTTGTTAGTTTAACTCCCAGTTGCTCACGGTGCTTTAAAAAAAAAAGAAGATATTTATATTAGACTGAAAATTTATCAAGACACTCTCTCCCTACTATGCCTTTTCAACAAAGATGATGACAATGAAGGCATGTTCCATCACCAGCCTTGCTCTGCTCATCTCACATTCCTATTGAAGCCCAAACCAGACAAAAGGTCAAACAACTTATCTCCTTATCTCTCCTTCTCTTTTGTGTTTGTCACTCTCTTGTAACACCTCTCATCTTCGGCACTTATCCGACCTAATTGTGTTTCAAGTGCCATAAAAAAACTTCTCACTAAAACGAACAATTTATTTTCTTTGTATGTTTCTCTCTCAAAACATCTCAAGTCTTGGCCACTTGTGTGACCTCTGTATATGTCTGCTATGTACATGTCCTCTATGTACATGTCCGCTATGCACATGTCCTCTATGTACATGTCCTCTATGTACATGTCCACTATGTACATGTCCACTATGTACATGTCCTCTATGTACATGTCCTCTATGTACATGTCCTCTATGTACATGTCCGCTGTGTATATGTCCTCTATGTACATGTCCTCTATGTACATGTCCGCTATGTACATGTCCGCTATGTACATGTCCGCTATGCCCTCTATGTACATGTCCTCTATGTACATGTCCGCTATGACCTCTATGTACATGTCCTCTATGTACATGTCCGCTATGTACATGTCCTCTATGTACATGTCCTCTATGTACATGTCCGCTATGTACATGTCCGCTATGTACATGTCCGCTATGTACATGTCCTCTATGTACATGTCCGCTGTGTCGCTATGTACATGTCCGCTATGTACATGTCCTCTATGTACATGTCCTCTATGTACATGTCCGCTATGTACATGTCCGCTATGTACATGTCCTCTATGTACATGTCCGCTGTGTCGCTATGTACATGTCCGCTATGTACATGTCCGCTATGTACATGTCCACTGTGTGCCTGTTCCGTACACACGTGTTTCGCTACATGGGTGTATTGCTATGTGTGCCTGTTCCGTACACATGTGTTTCGCTACATGGGTGTATTGCTATGTGTGCCTGTTCCGTACACACGTGTTTCGCTACATGGGTGTATTGCTATGTGTGCCTGTTCCGTACACACGTGTTTCGCTACATGGGTGTATTGCTATGTGTGCCTGTTCCGTACACACATGTTTCGCTACATGGGTGTATTGCTATGTGTGCCTGTTCCGTACACACGTGTTTCGCTACATGGGTGTATTGCTATGTGTGCCTGTTCCGTACACACGTGTTTCGTTATGTGGGTGTATTGGTGCGTGTTCCGTACACACGTATTTCGTTATGTGGGTGTATTGCTATGTGTGCATGTTATTAATAAATGCATGCAGACAGTATATATATATATATATATATATATATATATATATATATATATATATATATATATATATATATATATATATATATATATATATATATATATATATATATATATATATATATATATATGTGCTAGACAGGAAGTGACCTACTTGTTGATGTCCCCTCCCGGCAGCTCGCGGTCCAAGGGCCCGTGCCAGGGAATGTGGTCAAACTCACGGAAACCCACACCTGGGAGGAAGGACAGAGAGAGTACAGTCCACAGTAACAGAGAGAGTACAGTCCACAGTAACAGAGAGAGTACAGTCCACAGTAACAGAGAGAGTACAGTCCACCTTGCTGTAACAGAGAGAGTACAGTCCACAGTAACAGAGAGAGTACAGTCCACAGTAACAGAGAGAGTACAGTCCACAGTAACAGAGAGAGTACAGTCCGCTCTGACATCTAACAGTCACCGGTACAAGACAACCACCTGTACAAGACAACCGCCTGTACAAGACAACCACCTGTACAAGACAACCACCTGTACAAGACAATCACCTGTACAAGACAACCGCCTGTACAAGACAACCACCTGTACAAGACAATCACCGTTACAAGACAATCACCGTTACAAGACAACCACCTGTACAAGACAATCACCGTTACAAGACAATCACCTGTACAAGACAACCACCTGTACAAGACAATCACCTGTACAACACAACCACCTGTACAAGACAACCACCTGTACAAGACAATCACCTGTACAAGACAATCACCTGCTCCAACAGACATCTGTACAAGACAATCACCTGTACAAACAACCACTCCCCCCATGCGTTAAAAAAAAAGTGACACTGTCTAAGACAACCACTTTTCCTCTCAACAATGTGAGGCCCTCTTGGACAATTTCGACACTACTAAATTCTCAAATTCTCCGCCACAAGGGTTAACAATTTTTTAAAATCTTTAGTTTTACAGGCCGAAAGGCTAGAACCCAGACGGCTGCTAGATGGGAGAGGTAAAGTATCTTTAGATTTAGCAGAAGTTTTACCGTACTTGCAACACAAATGGGTTATGAAAGTGCAGAAGACTAGAAGTCTTACAAGAGAGCAACATAAGTTTTACGGTACTTGCAACACAAATGGGTTATGAAAGTGCAGAAGACTAGAAGTCTTACAAGAGAGCAACATAAGTTTTACGGTACTTGCAACACAAATGGGTTATGAAAGTGCAGAAGACTAGAAGTCTTACAAGAGAGCAACATAAGTTTTACGGTACTTGCAACACAAATGGGTTATGAAAGTGCAGAAGACTAGAAGTCTTACAAGAGAGCAACATACAAAAGAAAAGGAAAAGGAGCAATGAGGACCTTAGAAATGATTGGCCTCTTCCCATCAATCACGCTCAACAAATAATTCCTTTCCTCAGATGCTCTGAAAAAAGCTACATCATCCTGATCTTTCCCCATCACCCATCTTTTAAGACTTTCCAAGTAAATTGCTCTGGGCATTTGTCTTCAGTTTTGCCAGTGAGAGCTCCAGGTTCAAGGCCTGTATGTCAATTCAAGCGTCCCCATAAACTGCACTTGTCTCTCCCGCGTTGCTTTTCTCCTCCAGCAGTTACCTGTGTTGAAAACGTAGCGGGCCAGATTATTGAGCAGCGTGATGGGCCACTCCGGGGGTTCGCTCCCTTCTCCCGCCAACAGTCGGAACGTCAGTTCGAATCCATAACCGCTATCCTCATGTCTGCCTGTGAACCTGGACAAAAAAACCCCCCCAAAACCACACAAATGAAAATGAACGAAAATCCTGTTCTCCTTTAAGTGCTTGAGCTGAGACAAGCATTGGCAGTCATGTCAGAGTAATATTACGTTAAACAGAAAGTTATTTTTATCTGTTAACAGCTCAAAGAGAAGATTCATGCACCATTGTGAATGTTTTATGGCCCCATCCACACCAGGAAAACGATATAGGAGGCGGCTGTTTTGACCTTCCGAATTGGAGCCAGCCCCGTCGAGTGGGAACTAGAGTATTGACATCTTATAGACAGCATCGGCAAAAAAACTTTTCAAATGTAGGTCCTGTCTTTTTACGCCCCATTGACAAAATTAAGTTCGTTTATGAGGCCTGCTTCCAGTCCTGCCCGTCAGTGGGTTACTCTTTTGGTCTGCCATCTGTCTCTTCAGTCCTGTCAGTAAGTTACTCTTTTGGTCTACCATCTGTCTCTTCAGTCCTGTCAGTGGGTTACTCTATGTCTACCATCTGTCTCTTCAGTCCTGTCAGTGGGTTACTCTTTTGGTCTACCATCTGTCTCTTCAGTCCTGTCAGTGAGTTACTCTATGTCTACCATCTGTCTCTTCAGTCCTGTCAGTAAGTTACTATTTTGGTCTACCATCTGTCTCTTCAGTCCTGTCAGGGGGTTATTCTATGTCTACCATCTGTCTATTCAGTCCTGTCAGGGGGTTATTCTATGTCTACCATCTGTCTATTCAGTCCTGTCAGGGGGTTATTCTTTTGGTCTACCATCTGTCTATTCAGTCCTGTCAGGGGGTTATTCTATGTCTACCATCTGTCTATTCAGTCCTGTCAGGGGGTTATTCTTCATCAACCATCTGTCTATTCAGTCCTGTCAGTGGGTTACTCTATGTCTACCATCTATCTATTCAAGTCCTGTCAGTAAGTTACTCTATGTCTACCATCTGTCTCTTCAGTCCTGTCAGTGGGTTACTCTATTCAGTCCTGTCAGTAAGTTATTCTATTCAGTCCTGTCAGTAAGTTATTCTATTCAGTCCTGTCAGTAAGTTATTCTATTCAGTCCTGTCAGTAAGTTATTCTTCATCTACCATCTGTCTATTCAGTCCTGTCAGTAAGTTATTCTTCATCTATCTGTGCCTCTGCAAAGAACAACAAAAAAGTCCCAATCAGTTGAGCTTTTCCTTACTGGTGCACACGGCCGTCGCCGTACAGGTCTGTGAGTCCGTAGGTGACAAAGTGCCAGTGTGGAGGAACTGAGAGGCCGACTTGGCCGGCATGGAGGAAAACTTTGACGTAGTCCAGGGGATACACGCCTCCTTCCCTGAAACAAGTTCACAGCAATGGTAATAAACGAAGCTTCACAGATGAGCATGCCGATGGCATCACAGGTGGAAACAGGCCCAATCCATTGTCGCCCGACACCATTGTCGCCCGACTCCATTGTCGCCCGACACCATTGTCGCCCGACTCCATTGTCGCCCGACACCATTGTCGCCCGACACCATTGATGATAACATCAATCAAGAGCAAGGGAATCCAACAGGAAACTGGGACAGGGGACCATGGTATTGTTGATAGGGGGATGATGGAAGTTGAAAGAAGTGTCAGACCGCATCACAACATAGATACAATTCCAAAAGTGCTCTTTAAAGGGGAACACGAACAGTGCCAATGACCTCCCAAACACCAGAACAAACATTAAAAGATAATCTTCAACAAAAAAACAAAACATTGGACATTGACAAAGATTTGGGATTTCTCCTGAGTATGAAAATGTTCACTGTGAACTAATGAGAACATGTGGCCAACTCTATAATGGTGAAAGAATAAAAACAGTAACATGAGATCATTGTATAATGTTTTGATCAAGTTTGCTAGAGCATTATAATATAATAATAGGCCTAGATTTAGATCTAGACTTCTATCATAATAATGCTCAGGTAAGTTGGTAAGTACGCCATCTTTTGAATAGTTTGAAGTCTTTTCACTTGTCCCAGAAGACTGATTACAAAAATCTAATTACTTTTATACAAGTCTTGATAAAATGTTGCTCTACTATACTACTAATTTTATGGAAGTGGCTATTCTCATCCGGGGTGAGAATAGAAAAACGATCTACCTCTCACCCCGGGTGAGACTTGCCAGCGTAGGCTATTCTCACCCGGTGCGAAACAAGACCTGCTTTTCCTCATTTTGGAATACTGTCTATCGGTGTGGATGATCAAATTGATAAAAGCCAAGAAAAAATTACGTTATAGCACAAAAGTAAGCTAATTTGATCGTCTTCAAAGATGCTATGGCTATTTCATTGTTCGAATCAAGCCGAACTACGCGGGTCGCCATTTTGTTTTGCCCGGAAGTTCTCGCAAGATCTACTCCTCCCCTCTCTCTCTCTCTCTGTCTCTTTCTGAATACTGTCTATCGGTGTTGATGATCAAATTGACCAAAACAAAGTTAAAAACTGATGTTAAAACACAAAAGTAAATTAATTTGGTTGTCTACAAAGATGCTACGGCTATTTAACTTTTCTAATCGAGCCGAACTATGCGGGTCGCCATTTTGTTTTGACCGGAAGTTCTCGCGCTACTCCTCTCTCTGTCTCTTTCTCTCTCTCTCCACTGCCCATACAAAATTGTACGCTTTTAGTAGGCTACAGTTGTAATGGAACGTTTGTTCACGGCACAGAATTCTACAATTTTTCTGTTATCACAGTGTAGAATTCTGTGGTTTAGGGTGAACGCAAAATTTGTTGGCCTAGATCTAGGCTATAACGGTGAACGCGCACCGGGTGAGAATAGCCAAAAGACTAGCCTGCACTATTCTCATCCCGGGTGAGAATAGAGGTGGCCAATTTTATACTTAAATATAAAAAGAAATTTACACAAGACTTACACTTACAGAGTAGAAGCATGATCATAAGTCATTAAGTTTACTTGTTCTGTGATTAGATGACAAACTGATTTGACGAAATAGGCTACAATGCAGCAGATCAGATGTGTGTAGATCTAGAATCTAGATCTAGATATCTAGAATCTAGATATCTAGATCTAGAAATCTAGATCTAGATCTAGATTCTAGATCTAGATTCTAGATCTAGATCTAGATCTAGATCTAGATCTAGTCTAGATCTAGATCTAGATCTAGACTCTAGATGTTAATTACTCACCACATTTTTATGGCTGGGCTTGAGATCATCGCTGGATTATGAGGTTCTGGGTAAAGATTTCGACATGCACGATCAATTGCATCAAAGCCATAATGGATGTCATCAAAACTATGACTGAACTGATTGGTCCCCTCCGCCTCCTGCATGCCATTGTTTTGGTCTTGATTGACTTGATCGGAATCGGAATGAGAAGAGCCAGAGTCATTTGTTGGACAAGCATAAGACTCAGCCATGTTCAGATACATGTAGTTTGTTTCGATGCCCTGTGTGGTCTGCTATAAAAGACAATTCTTGCCCACGCACGGTGAGCGAAGCTCATTGTTGCTTTCATAATTTCACTGTGGGGAAAAGTTTTAAAACAATAACAAATGACTTAGGCCTAGCCAGAAGCGACAGTGACCTCCCCTTTCCCCCTTAGGAATAATCTTAAAACAAAATTTCTGATTTATTTGATTCTCTTACCACTTGTTCTATTTTGTTGCTTTAAAAACCAATAAATAATACATTGAATAATAAACTGATGTCTCGAGTGTACGGTTGGATGACACGTCTGCTGAAGGACTCAATAGCCAGATAATACATTACAAATGGAACAGGAAGCTCATTTGGTTTCAAGGGTATTTTATCCTACAAAATGTCAACAGAAGCAAGCGATGCCATGCGTCTGTGCATTGTATCAGATAATAATTTGCCTTAAAATCGGAGAGTGAGAGCTAAATGTTATACTATTTAATTTGCTTACAATGGCAGCAAAGAATATGACAATGGTTGGAAGCGAAGAAATCTTTGATGAAAGTGAGGGTGAATTAGTCGACTCGCAGCTTCCCCTTGCTTGTTGCGAAAGTCGCCACTGCGGAAAAATTGAGGGGCTGGATCTCTGCTTACATTGTTGGAGAATGAAAGAACGGGTAGGTGTAGATTCATTGGCTTCTGACTCCAGTGCATCTGATAAACACGTTGATATAAACCTGAATGGCATAAGGGAATCTTTTCCTTCTGAAATGTTTAATGCCCCTTTTGTGGCTGCTGGAAGCGCAGTCCAGATTCAGATGAGACAACATGAGAGTGAGTCACTGGGCACATCTTTCACAATGTAAGTCTAGAGTCAAGAGAACTTAGCACAACAAGAGTTTACTGGTCAACCCCTTTAGATTCAGTGCTTTTTGGGGGAGGGGGATGGTTCCTTGAATGGGATGAGTGGTAAAACAATGTTTACCTGCCCTAGTTAGGCCAATACTGTCATATGATGATAATGGATCTTTTTGTCCTTTTACTTTTATCATGACATAATATAGAGATCTAGATCTAGATCTATGTATGTATTACGAATTACAGAGCTACCGTGAATTTGAATATTTATTATGAAGTGGCCAAGTGCGGCTAGCCTGACAGTTGAGCCATCCTTTAGTACCTTGGAGGAACTACTATAATAGGAGAGGCCGCGAGTCGCGTAACGTGAAGCCGCTGCAGACGACGGTCGGCCATGTTTGTGAGATCAGCTCAGTTCTCTCAGTTGTAAACTTAGTGTCAACCGAATGGCAGTTTGCGTAGCGTTCGGGTCCGGTGGGCCTCTCATTCAAAGGTCCTGGGTTCAAATCCGAGTAGTGACGGAAAAATTTTGTTCTCTAAACTTCTACTTTCTCTTTCGTCTGCTTTCACCTCCACTTTCTGCCCCTACCTCCTCAGGGCTCCGAACTCTTTCTGCAGCCTTTCTACTGCTACTCCTTGGCTCCTTCTTACCTCTGTCTTTCAGCCACACCCCTGATCTTCTGGTAGGAAAGATCTACCCCTAGCCTTCTCGGACAAGGGCGAAAAAATCTCGGAGGTCGCGTATGCAAATTGCGCAAATTAAAGGTCCCTTGGTGGTCTAAAATCGATAAGAGTAGGCTTCGGTCGCCACCCAGGCAAAATTCAAAATTTCCTACCAAATGTTTTAAAAAATATCAGTCTCTAGCAATGGCACTGAACTTGATGACGAAGTGCCTTCTGATTTAGCCGTAAATGCATCTCACAGTAAAAACAGAATGAACAAAGATTTCAGAAAATTCAGTTTGCCATGATGATAACTGCACGTATGTGCCTAGATCTACTCTAGCATACTTGTCAATTTGCTCTGCATGTTGCTTACATTGCTGGTTTTGTGTTGTTAAGGTTGACAAAGCATTTGAAAACGTGAAACCTGCATCGGTGCCTTTGTTGACTCCAATGTGTCAAAAGTAAATTCCTTGCTGTTTTTTGAAGTCTCGTCGGAGGTTCGACAGTGCCTTCGTTGTTTTGTTTGTTTAGTATAGGGTTTTACGACGCTCGCAACTGCATAAGGTCATATGAGCGCGCGGGACACACCTAATACTTTTTCGTTGGTAGGAAATTTTGAATTTTTGCCCGGGTGGCGGCCGAAGCCTACTCTTATCGATTTTAGACCACCAAGGGATCTTTAACATGCGCAACTTGCATACGCCTTTGTTGACTCCAATGTGTCAAAAGTAAATTCCTTGCTGTTTTTTGAAGTCTCGTCGGAGGTTCGACAGTGCCTTCAAAGAATGTCATTGAAGTGTGTTTGGTGTGTGAATAACATTTTTGATGCCATGTGTCGTCTGTCTGTGCATGGGGTGTGACATTGTCAAGAGTGAAATGTCATAAATTAGTGCAATCTGTTTTGAAAATCTTATTATTATAAGTCTATCATTTCAAATTCTCTATTAATTTTTCAATACCCATAACAGTATTTTGTAAAATTTAGATAAAGTGTCTTGGTGTTTTAAAGGTGCCCCTCCCTCCTCGCTTTATTTGGGGGGGGGGGGGGGGCTGTTTTATTCTTGTTTTTGTGTGTGTGGGGGGGGGGTAATTTCCACCATCATACTTTACTCTTATTTGCCTTGCCCTCTCCTTCCTCATTCTTCGCCCATCCCATCCCACCCTCACTACAATCTTTTGTGTAATCATTTTCAATTTTGTTAGAAATATATTCTGTTGTAAGTTTAAGTCAAGAAGACTACGTTTTTGTAAAAATAATGTCAGTGATGACATCATTTTGCACTGATGAAGTTCTATGACCGAAAAGTCTGCAAATTTTGTAATCCCGTTTATATTTTTGTTTTGATCCTTATTATCCCAATTTCTTCTCTAAAACAAGTTTAAAAAATTTATCTTACCGTCACGATGTGTATACATAGTACATGTATTACCAAATGTTCGACTGAGTGAGCTGGTAATTTGATGCAAGTAAGATTTCTTGCTGTCCTTATTATATTGTTACTATCAAGAAGTCTTCGTTTTTTGTAAAAATAATGAAGTTCGACTACCAAAAACTCAGCAAATGTTATCATCCCGTTTATAATTTTGTTTTGATCCTTATTATCCCAATTTTGTCTCTAAAACATGTAAAACAGAATATCTTACCATCACAATGTGTATACATAGTACACGTATTACTGTAAATATTAGACTAAATGAGCTGGAAATTTGATGCAAGTAAGATTTGTTAACATCCTTATTACATTACAACTGTACGTGAGTGCTTATAATGCTGTAATTAACATTGACAAAGAAATTTTGAGAGAAAATGGAGTCCGAGCAGTTTGTTTTGAAAGGAGATTACGCTGCGTACGCTGCATTGTTTTGAACTTACAAAGATGGCGGCAGGCCCGATAAGCTCCGCCCTTTCGGCTTCAACTTGGTTGGAACTGTTGAGCGGGCGACGCAACGTTAGGGCCTCTCCCTATATAGTTACTCCAAGTTTAGTACGCTAGCCTAGCAGACTAGCTGTCATTAAGTACGGCTAGCCTCTTCCATTTTATTAAATTATTGTTACATTACTCAGACTGTCACATGATAGGCCTCATAGTATAGTCCTCATGGTTCCCTATTGGCTGTTGATTGAAAGAGAATAAGACGACCGAAAAATATTTAAGAATATATAGAAGTTACAAGAACCTTAGGAGAAAAAAAAAAACGAAGTGGCTAGCCGTACTTAGATCTAGGTTTGGCCCTATCGACTCAAGCCTGTTAGGTACACAAGTCTCATTAGATCTAGATCTAGTAATTATTCAGGTTCAAATACATGCAAGTCAGTAAGGCACCTTTTTGTTTTGTCTGAAATACAAATACTTTAGGCATTGCAAACTAAAAATTTCATTTACAATTTAGCCATCAATATTAAGTACAGCTAGCCTGACAGTCTAGCCGTCCTTAAGTATGGCTAGCCTGGCTGTCTACCCGTACTTAAGTACGGCTAGACTGCCAGTCTAGCCGTACTTATCTTAGGCCCTATTAACATTAGAAAACAGGAGGTTTAAAATACATGCACTGTCATTTAGGCACCTGGTTTCGTCTCAAATACAAATACTTTAGGTACTGCACACTAAAAAAGTATATTTACAATTCAGTAGGCCTATTTTTTTGTTAAATGGTCAGTCTAGCCATCATATTAAGAATAAGTACGGCTAGACTGCGAGTCTAGCCGTACTTAAGTACGGCTAGACTGCCAGTCTAGCCGTCATTAAGTACGGCTAGCCTCTTCCAAAAAAAAATGAAGCTTCGCTACAGCGAGCACCTCTAGCCTTGTCAACTGGCGAGGGAAGCCCTGGAAGACGACAAAAAAAGATGGTGGCAATGTGTAATCTCTGTATATATTTGGCCAATCACAGAGGTGTGCTAGTGCTAGGTGCTCGCTGTAGCTTCTCGGAGTCCAGTTTTGGGACTCAAAATGGGTTTATTTATCTATTCGGACTCGCGTCCCAAAAAAATGTGTTACTTTTATAACTCGAGCTCGGCCTTTGAGTGCGAGTTATGTGAGTGTAAGGAGGTATTGTCGTCGGTTTTTTTTTTTACGTAAAACCAGAATTAGAACTTACCTACTAGGACTGTGTACCTCAAAAGTCAAAAGACTGACTCTCATTGCCCAATGGCAGTGTCTACATACACCGTAAAAACGACAACTCAGGGTCAACGAACACGGTAACCAGCCCTGGGCACCACTACCAGTCAACAGCATCATGAATACTTCCACCACCACTACAGCATCATCATTACTTCCACCACCACTGTCACTACAGCATCATCATTACTTCCACCACTGCTGCAGCATCATCATTACTTCCACCACCACTACAGCATCATCATTACTTCCACCACCACTACAGCATCATCATTACTACTACTTCCACCACCACTACAGCATCATCATTACTTCCACAGATAGAGATAGTAACTGGATTATATTAAAGCTCACGTCTCAATTTTTATCAGCATAAATCGAAAGCATTTTCATAAAAATGCTTAACCGTGGAGGGAAATTCTGGCTATCAACAAGGTGTGTCACTGGACCAAACTGCCACTTCCCAACTTCCCATTTTATTGTGGGAGAAGCAGGTGGGGGCCGGAAATCAAATTTCATGTGTGGTAGACAAGAGTGATCTTGGTGGTTTGAGCTCGGCTTTATCATTTCCAGCAGGATGTGTTTGATTTTTTTTTCTTGATGATCAAGATATATATAATATATGCTTTTTTCTTCTTCATTCAAAAGTAATTGGATTCCCCGCCAAAATTGTCTTAGATGGCCATCTATTGACAAGTGGCTGTTGTAGGCAGGACTGACCAAATGGAAGAAAAACTGTTCCTTTTTGAAGTCCCAATTGGTGGCGGTGGTTGGCTTAGGAATGCCACAAAATGCCAATTAAAATGTTACCGACTGATCAACTTAGACTTCTAGGTGTAAACAGTGGGTGGGACTAGAATCCTCGCTTTTCAACGTGCTGGCCAGCGATTGGTTCATTCGTACGACAGGCTTACTTAAGGGGAGGAGCGACCCTTGATTTTGCAGATTTTGGGTCAGGCTATGCAAATTTTCTGTTGGCTGATTTTTCAAGATCAACCAGTTTTTTGTCCAAAAATAGCATGGATACATTTGAGAAAGTGTTTATTCTCCACGTAAATTGCCTTTAAAAACATGACGATGGGTTAATATAGTGAATTTTCACAATAATAGTCAGTTTTCGCAAAATGTAATTTTTTTGCCGTTTTTTCCCAGCTCCTTCCTTAGTTTTCATCATTTTGAGATGAAACTTTCAGGAAACATAGATGGCAAGGCTGCCATCATAACGGAGAGATATTTGCGAAAACAATAACACTTTTCCATTGGCAAGCGATTACGTAACCTAAATTTTTAAAAAGTTTTTTATACTTTGGGAAAATTCTCATATATTTTTTTCTTTTGCACTTATTGAAATAAGCTTGCTGTTACTCTGATAGGGTCTAGTTCAGGTATACTCTCACCACATTTGGTCAAATTTGGTTGGTAAATAAGAAAGCAATAGGGATTTGAAATTCATTGTTTATTTTCAAGATGGCGGCCATTTCCATAGCAACCGTTGTTGCTGTGCCCAAAAAAAATGGCACATCAAGAGATTTTACTATGCCTAACTTATATGTGTACTTAGATTTGATCTTGGGCAACAGACATAGAAAATGGTCCTCAAGGGTAGCTCCTCCCATTAACAGCAAATGAATGGATTGTGATGGTTCTTCCTCAGAGTCAGTGGCGGAATTGTTCGCAATGTGTCAGGCGATGAAGAAAGATATGCCTGGCCATCTTGGGCAGGTTTTTTTTGGGTTGTTTTTTTATGAAAACTACCGACTGCAGCCATATTACACATGTTAATTTATCGTTTTAGGGTATTTCAGGCAGTGCCATTGAATAAAATGAAAGGAGAAAAGTGGCTTACAGGTACAGGTGGCTGTTTAGGCAGGTTACCTATGCCATCAGGGACTGTTTGGTTATTGTCACATTATTGTCACAGCAGTTTGTGCCATCAGGGACTGTTTGATTATTGTCACAGCAGTTTGTGCCATCAGGGACTGTTTGATTATTGTCACATTATTGTCACAGCAGTTTGTGCCATCAGGGACTGTTTGATTATACAGCAGTTTGTGCCATCAGGGACTGTTTGATTCTTGTCACAGCAGTTTGAGTAGCCCTTGTACAACGAGTTTACATGATAAGATTCACGATTCCCTTGCTTATGATGAGTTAAGATGTAACATTCACACTGTTGAGATGAGGCGATGACTTTTAGGCTTTGTTGTTCAAAGAAAAGTTTGTCAGCACCGTTTCTTTCTACGGTGATGTTCTGCATTGCCTTGGTGTAATATATGCTTTGAATGTGTAATATTTGTGTTTGATTATGTATTTATGTATGTCTTGTTGTTACCAGGTGTTACGTTTGCCATTGTAACCCTAATTTCCCTACAGGGATCAGCTTTATTTAATGAAATTATTGTAAAAATGTTATCTCTGTCTGTGGTGATGTTGATAATAAAATGTTTTTCTGTTTGCTCCTATGTCAGATGAAGACAGTGAGTGTAGCTCTGGTCCTGTGTCTGAACGTTGGTGTGGACCCGCCCGACGTGGTCAAGATTTCCCCTTGTGCTCGCATGGAGTGTTGGATCGGTGAGTCTCGTGCTGTTGCTGTTTGGTGTTGTGTCGTCATGTCTGCACTAATATCATCATGCTTGTAGCCACACTGTGTGGTCTGTTTCATAATGATACTGTCCACCTTAGAAGTAGAAAAAGAAAAAGTCTAACTTTCAGATATATATATGCAGTTTGTGGGAGGTTGATGGGTGTTCTGTTGTAGTTTGCTCTATTTTTTCTATCCGACTTCTAATCATCTTTGTCTCTCCTCTTTTTTTGTGTGTGTGTTTGTCTCCAGTAACATCTGTAATCTTCAGCACATTTATGACGACCTATTTGTGGTGTTGCACGTGCCATAAAGCACTCATAGTAAAGCTGAAATACAACTCTCATCATGTCATGTTTGGACAATAGAAAACTATGGGTGGGATATTGAAAATATGTCAAAGCCCAACAAATGTAGGAAACCGTTTGAGACAAGTTTTGGTGGAAAGTTACAATCACGAAAAGTTGGGGTGGGGGGG